TTGGTTCCGCTGACATCGTCATTACGCCAATCGTGAAGGAAGGCTAGCTGGCTCTTCCCCAACTCCCCGCACAGCCAACCACTGCAGAGAGACTTCCTATCCTGCCTCTGCACCACAGTGGTCAGCTGCACGGGGAGGAGGGGAAGAGCAGAGACAGGCGCCTTCTGCGATTGTCCTGATGATGGCGACAACGGAGCTGAGCACCATGCTACAAATGGTGAGTGGACTGGACAGCTCTGGGTGGAGAAAATGGGCCTCTGTGGCAACTGTGGTGTTGCTATTCATATTTGTATCCCCAGGGATACAAATATGAATACCCCATGCCTAATCAAAACTGTAAATATTAAATGGCAGCAGCTCTCCTTGCTTTCTCAGGGACATGGTGGTGCTGTGGGTTAAACTGCAGAAGCCTCTGTGCTGCAAGGTCAGAAGACCAGCAGTAATAAGATCAAATCCATGTGGTGGAGTGAGCTCCGTCCTTGTCCCAGCTCCTGCCAACCTAGCAGTTTGAAAGCGTGTAAAAATACAAGTAGATAAATAGTTACCACCTCGGTGGGAAGGTAACAGCTTCTCAGGGACATGGTGGTGTTGTGGGTTAAACCGCAGAAGCCTCTGTGCTGCAAGGTCAGAAGACCAGCAGTAATAAGATCAAATCCATGTGGTGGAGTGAGCTCCGTCCTTGTCCCAGCTCCTGCCAACCTAGCAGTTTGAAAGCGTGTAAAAATACAAGTAGATAAATAGTTACCACCTCGGTGGGAAGGTAACAGTGTGTCTAGTCACACTGGCCACGTGACCACAGAAACTCTCTATGGACAAATGCCGGCTCTACAGCTTGGAAACAGGGATCAGCACCGCACCCTAGAGTCGGACATGACTGGACTAAATGTCAAGGGGAACCTTTACCTTTACCTTTACCTTTACCTCCTTGCTTTCAGACCAAGATCCTTCCCATTCTGCCTAGAACTGCTAAAGATCTGATCAGAGGCAAACTCTTGCACAGATTCCACAGAATCTCATGCCCAAGGATAGAAGGGGACACTGTAGAAGGGGACACAATCACTTCCTCTGGGCTGCCATCCAAGGACACTGTAAAACACACAATCACTTCCTCTGGGCTGCCATCCATACATTTTAGCACGCACCTGAAACACATCCCAATACTATACCTATTTGACAAGAAGCTTATTTGTCATAACTGGTTTTCTTATTTACAAACACCTGAGAGTTTTCTGGGAAATGTTGGAATTCCCAACAACATATGCACTGCAACCTGTCTGAGGGTCTCATATCATTTTATTTTCTGCTCGGTCAGTGGATCATCTTTCTTCATGATTTTGTCTAGGAAATTATTCAGTTATTAGCTCTCTCTAGAGAGGTAAAAGGATCTGAATTGTTTTTTAAAAAAAGAAAACTTTAGAAGTATGTAGTTTACGTCTCAAGAACTATGTTTCTTGTTTCTGGCTCCTTAAAGCTAAATGACATTTCAAAGTCATATGTATTTCTGTGCAAGTAGCCAAATCAATTACACTAAAGACTTAGCTGGCCGTTCAACCTGAGACTAAGACAGCAAACTCAGTAAGTATATAGGCATCCTTCAGTCTCGAGAGACTATGGTAACATGCTCTGAATCGAGGAGTGTCCTCTCCAGAGCATGAAGCCCGGGTAAGGTAATATGGAGAATAGGCTGTTACCCAAACAGCAGATCCCCCGTCTCCACATTGCTGAAATGGTCCAATGGAAAGGCAAGAGCCAATACAACTGGTTCCAGCAACGTCGCAGGAGTTGGCAGAACGACACATGCTGCCTTCGGGACTCCAGCTCCGGATTTTGCCTCGAGGTTAACTTCTGAAGCCTTTTCCATGAGTGGATATAGCCACAAGGCAGTGGAGGTTTGAAATTGGAGTTTTCCTTCTCCTAGATGGGGTGCCTTCCATGGCTGACGAGCCCCACCTACCCGGCCTGCTCTTTAATAGTGCAAAAGTATGATCTGATCCTTAAAACTTTCCTAACTCCCAGGCTTATGCAAATCTAATTGGCTTTCCTATTTACCATATTAAGGCCAGAGATACAATTTGAGAATTTCGCGCACCATTAGGCGCGCGGTCCTGGGACACGCTCTCAGTAAGACTTTCCTTAGAAATATCTAAGATTGTGCGTTGACTTTCATGCATTGCAGCATTTCCACTTTCTTCCCTTTATTTTTATATACAGTGGTACCTTGACTTATGACCTTAATCTGTTCTGGAGCGATGGTCGTAACTTGAAATGGCCATAGGAGTGCATTGGGACACGATTAATCTGTTCCAACCAGAAAAAAAAATTACAACCAAAGAAAACACCCTGCAAGCCTCATTGGAACACATCAGGGCCAGAAAAAAAATCACCCCCCCCCAAAAAAAAACATTGCAAGCCCCACTGGAACACACCAGGGCCAAGGAGAAAAAACCACCAAAAACCAAAAAAACAATGCAAGCCCCATCGGAACGCGTTGGGGTCAGGAAAAAAAAATCACCAAACCCCCCAAAAATTGCAAGTCTCATTGGAACACGTTGGGGCCGGGGGAAAAATCACCAAAAACAACAACAAAACAACAAAACAAAACAAAACAACAACAACACAATGCAAGTCTCATCAGAACGCGTTGGGGCCAGAAAAAAAATTACCAAAAAAGATGCAAGCCCCATCAGAACGCACTGGGACTGGAAAAAAAATCATCATCATCATCAACAACAACAACAACAACAAAGCAAGCCCAATCAGAAGGCGTTGGGGGGATCACACCAAGCACACCAAAAAACATCACAGCACAGAAACATAACCCCCCAAGCCCAAACCCACCCTGCAAAACCCTATAAATGTACTTACTCAGAAGCAGAAGGCAGCACCAGGCAGTCCGCAGCCTCCTCCAACGCACTCTCTCTAACCGTTGGGGCGAAAGGGCTACAAAAAAGCAGCCTCCTCGCTGACCAATGGTTAGCAATTTAAATTCCCCGCCTTTCCCCCCACCTTTTTCCTGTCGTAACTTGAAGCTCCATTCGCAAGTCGAAGCAAAATTTTGCGGCCGGAGCTAGTCGTAACTCAAAATGGTCATAAGTCAGGACGGTCATACTGTAAGTCAAGGCACCGCTGTACTACTTATCCACTCAACCACCTTTTCTACATAACATTAATTCATCCAACCAATGAAACACATGAAATGGACAAACAAAATAGTTTTCCATAAATTTGAAGCTAAATATAAAAAACGTATTGGACTATAATACCAAGTGGTGTCCTCCAGCCAGCAAACCATACACCACTGACACATTGAATTTCCCCCACCCACTCACCTCTTGCTGCTACACAGACACAACAAAATCAGTGCAAGAAGGTTGGAGGAATCTCTGGAACAAATTTGGGGCTGATGGTGGAAAGGGCCCAAGGTACCACGGGAATGGAAGCTTCCACTACCCACTCCCATGATGCTAGATTCAGCCCCAAATCCCAACACCCAGCTCAAAAACAATAAAAAACAAGCCATAGAAGTTTGGCAGAAGGTCCTTGGTCTAGTAAACCATGAATCTAAATCATTTTCTGGGTTGTTCAGGGTCACTAACCTTTACCAAAGGGACAGGATTTCCTAAAGCAGAAGGAAATGGAATAGGCCATAAAGCTATATCCTGATACCAGGATAAGTCCAGATAGATCACAAGAGTTTTCAGTTCAGCCATGTTGAAGAGCTCACCATTTATATGTTCTGTTCCTTTAAAATGTTTATTTAAAAAAAGGAACTTAGCTCAGATTCATTTTTGTTGTTTTTGCAGCTGAACTGTAATGAGATATTAGCATATTATTACAGTATGTTCACATTTTAAATAATGTTGCTGATTTCACTAATCTGATCTTTTAAAAAAAATATCTTTATTGTGGCATATTGATTTTGGACTTACTGTTCTAATATTCCATTAAAAGCTCCTTCCTTTAGAATCAGAATTTAAACAAAGTCACAAAAAACCACTTAATATCTACCCTGTTTCCCTGAAAATAAGATCTAACCTGAAAATAAGCCCTAGTATGATTTTTAGGATGCTTGCAATATAAGCCCTACCCCAAAAATAAACCCCAGTTAAATGAATCCCCACCCCTCCACCATTGTGCAGCAACCAGAGGAAGATGACATGATTGTATTTAAATAAATGTAGACTGTTCTACATGAAAAAAAAACACATCCCCTGAAAATAAGCCCTAATGCATTTTTGGAGCAAAAATTAATGTAATACCCTGTCTTATTTTGGGGAAAACATGGTATCAGGAGGTTTTATTTACCATGATGACACAGTGAAACCAGTTTGAGTTATTGGTTTGCAATACTGACCAGCTGACGAATTATAATCATGCTGTCCTATTAGTCTCCTTAGGCTGGTTACAGCCTGGACATTGATACAGCACTAGTAAGTTATCTGGCTGTTCCAGAAATGTGATATATAGAGTCTAGGTTTTCTGAGATTTCCTGGTAGAAGTTGCTGAATGACAGCAGTTTGAGACTGTGGAGGAAATAGGTTCTTTTGAATCAACTATTGCCTCTGAATTTGCTTCTGCATACCCATGATACCTGTCTAACTTATTCAATAGCAAACAAACATAACTCTTTTAAACACACTTTAAGTACCTATACATCTTCCTCTTCAATATGGGAGGGTGCAAAATGCAGACCAATTTCTTACTGTGAATAAGTGAGGTTTATGGCAGATCTCTTGTGCCTATTTCATTTTCATCAACCCCCACACACATACAGGGACACAAAGACAAAAAAAAATTAAAAAACAGCCAGCTGCGATCAAGAATGCCTTTTTGTATAAATGGGGTAGGCATTCTGTATGTCTTTGAGCACAGATCATTATCTTAAGCATTTGGTAAAGCTTGCCATAGGAAATATTTTGTGCAGCTAGGACACTAGGATGAACAATGTGACTCTGAAGAAACAACTCTGCATTTCTGAGTCTGGAATTAAAATTACATACCTTGGCTCTTTGTGGCAGGTTCATCATTGTGTCTCCCTTGAAGTCATTTTTGTTCTTCCTGCATAGAACAGCTGTGATGATGATTATGATGATGGTAACTACAGCAATGGGTGCCAGCACAGCTGCAATGATCCATAGATTGTTGGGTGGGTTTTTTACCACAGCTAGAGAAATCAAGGGAAAAAATGCTTGGAAAGCTACTTAAAAACATGCTATTGACCCATCAAGCCCAGCACTATCTACTTCTACTAGAAGCAGTTTTCCAAAACAATCTTTCTGCTCATGGTATGGGTGTTTCTCCAGTTAAGGTGTTAAAAGTTTAAAAACATCTGCCAACTTGAATGTTTTTGCATGCATATTGGGCTCTGCCAGTCTTGCTATTGTCCTCCCCCACTAAACAACCACCACTACTATCAGTCACTGGAAAAACAGAAATAAAAACAACAACAATGTAAGCAATATCAATTCAAGCTCAATTTGTGGACAAGCCATAGCTCAGTGGTATATCATATGCTTGGCATGGAAAAAGGTCTTGGATTCAGTCTCCAACTAGAGCTATCTATAGAAGTAGATGTTACTTACTTATAACTGCAATTATTCAGAGTGGTCATTTGTGAATTCACAATAATGGGTTGTTCTACACCTGCACAAAAGCCCCTGGAAACTTCCAGAGCCTAGAACAAAGTTGCTAGCCTCCCCCCCATCATGTAGCGCATGCTCCTCCACCTAACGATTAAGCCCAGTCCCCATGTCCACCACCGTATCAAACTCAACGAGTGACAGAAAGAGGGGAGAAGGGATGAGTTGTGTGAATTCACAGATGATCACTCAAAGAACTACAGTTACAGATAAGTAACCTGTCCATCTTCTTCGTGGTCTCTGTGATTCACACTAATGGGTCAACAGTTGGTGAGATGTCATATCAATACTGATGAGATCACGGCTTGACCAAAGATGTGTCAAGTTTCACTCTATCATCCAGTCTATAGTGCTTGATGAAGGCCAGGGGCTGAGACCACATGGCTGCCTTCCAGATGTCATTCATTTGAACTCCCTCTAAAAAGGCTGTCAAGGCAGCAAGTGCCCTAGCAGAACGTCCTTTTAAGGAATGTTCTCTTGCCAACAGAGGATATCCAAAGCCATTTGGATATTCCTCTGTGAAGAAAATGATTGCCCTGCCACTCGCCTTGTTAGCAAAGCCAGAGTTCTGCAGCCATTTAGCGTGTTCTTTATAAATTGGTAGTAGGGCCTGGAAAGAAAGTTGGGAACACCAAAGGTTGATTTATGTGAAAATCTGTTACAACCTCAAGAAGGAAAGAGATCTGTTGTGAGAACCACCTTATCTCTGAAGATCTGCAAAAAGGGAGACTAGCAGCATATGCTCCCAGCTCACTCACTCACTTGGCCAGTGTAATAGCAATCAAGAAAACTGTTTTATCTGTTAGGAGTCATAGACGCTGAGCAGAAGTGACCATTGGTTCAAACAGCAGTTTTGTCAACTGATGAAGAACCGAAGGAGGAGACCATTGAGGTAATTGGTACTCTAACATCCAGGTAGAGATGCTGTAAACCTTTGAGGAATCTTTTTAATGTACTTTTTTTTGAAAATGGTGAGTTTCTTTTCTGGTTCACAACAATGGCTAAGATGGAGACCTTCCCCGAGGCATGAGACAGTCTCTTTTCTTTCAGAAACTTAGGACTGTATGTTTTCCCACAGAGTTAGCAAACATAAATTTGTTCCATTTACTGTATATTTGTAGGCTTTCCTTGTGGAGGGCTTTCAGTCTTCAATCGGTATTCTGGATCATTAATGAATCTTCCACGGTGTCAGCTTTAGGGTTTTGAGGTCTGGTATTGTGCCATTTTGTAGGGATATTAGATATGTCTCCAGGAGCAGATTGTTGATGTTGTCCACCATGTTGAGAAAGCACTGCAAACTATGGTTGATGAGGTCACCAAAGTATTAGTATTGTATTTATGCTTCTCAGCATACTTCTTAGTGGGTTGAAATGCAGTCTTTCCCCAATATTTGTGTCATATGGCTCCAAGATGGTAAATGTGAGGAGGCACTGGGAAAAGACACAGGGCTATGTCTTCCTCTGATATGGAGCCCACACAAATTCTTCCTGTTCTTTTAGTTGTGCATTTAAAAGCTGCAGCATTGAAAAACAGACTGCTACTGATGCAAGATGCTTTCCTTGTTTGGTTATAGTCTTGGTCTTTTTCAGTTGCATCTTTTCCATGACAGGTCTCCTCCTTTCGATGCTGATGGAGTAGGTTTCCGAGTTGCCAAAGCCACAGCTTTTGGAGCTGAATAAGACACTCCCAATGCTTACAAAACCAAATCTTCTCGGATATCTGTCTGTCTGTCTGTCTGTCTGTCTGTCTGTCTGTCTGTCTGTCTGTCCCCCACATCACGACAGTGGAACCAGTTACCTCAGGGGTTGGTGAGTGTTCCAACACTGGAGGATTCAAGAAAAACTTAGATAATCACCTGGCTGATATGCTTTGATTGTTTTCCTGCATTTAGCAGGGGGTCGGACTTGATGGCCTCGCAGGCCCCTTTCCAACTTCACTTTTCTATCATTTTATGATCAATCTGAGTAGGCTCCACAAGAGTTGCTTTTGCATGGGTCTCGCAGACCAATACTGATAGTTCCATGGTCTCTTCCAAAATAATGTCAATTGCACAAAACGAAAAAACAGGCTAACTGCAAAAGGTAATGAAAAAACTACTCACACTGTTTTAAGTACAACTGGGCTCTGGGACAGCCATTGAGAAGCTGCTTCACCGATGGCTAAAAGGAACTGAAGTTAACTGTTAGGCAGAAGGTAAAAGGTAAAGGTTCCCCTGGACATTTAGTCCAGTCATGTCCAACTGTAGGGCGTGGTGCTCATCCCCATCTCCAAGCCGTAGAGCCAATGTTTGTCTGTGGATAGCTCCTGTGGTCACATGGCCAGCGCAACTAGACACGGAACGCCGTTACCTTCCCTCCGTGGTGGTACATATTTATCTACTCACATTTACATGCTTTTGAATGGCTAGGTTGGCAGGAGCTGGGACAAGCGACGGGAGCTCACTCTGTCGCGTGGATTTGATCATACGACTGCTGGTCTCCTGACCTTGCAGCACAGAGGCTTAAGTGGTTTAACCCGCAGCACCACCACGTCCCATGTTAGGCAGAAGAGCATGCGCTAAATGTAGGGTGGAGCTAACAAGTATTTTCTAAGCTACAGAAGATTCTGAGAATGTCTGCACAACTGCAGAAAAACCCATACATGTAAACCACAGAGACCACAAAGAACATCTGTTTGAAACCCCAGGAAGTACCAGTCAATATAGACAATACACAGCTTAACAGACTAATGTGTTGACTTAGTACAAGGTATTCATAGTGAGAAGTGGCCTTCATAAGCAGTAGCAGGTGTAACCCTTGCCAGATTTGGTAGAGGTGCTCATTCCTCTCCCATACAAACTCCTTTGTAATACTAATTGAATGCTCTACTTTCTTTCAAAACTTTTAAGCAATTACATATTTGAATGAATTAGTAATAGAGCACTTACAACTGTTAAGTGACTAGAAATGAGAAAGAGGTGCAGGTCACTTATGACTATTTCCAGCTGGAAAAAGACTTAAATCAATAATGTCATATAAATGCTTCTAGCATTAGCCAGAGAATATTGTAACAACTGAAAATAATTAAAAGTGAGAAAATCTGCAATATTTGAATAATTTATCATATATATATATGATAATCCTATATCATATATATAATTTTTTTAAAAGAACAATCTGTGTAATTTTAGCCTTGACAATGCTACACAGGACCAGCTTATGTTTAAAATTCAAGCCACAAGCTACTGCTCCGAAGATATACTGAGCTGGGTCAGACACAACGAAGATTGCAACTGAATAAATCAAGAAATGCATGAGTTTTAGATACCTGGACACTGTTGTTTTACCCTTCCCATCACACAAGTGAACAATCAAAGCAGGAATTGCAGTTAATTATAACTTCCCATTATGCCCAGACCAGGAATGAGGGTTAATAGCTTCCAACCAACACAGGATATGAAATCCAACTCTGAACTAAGGTTTTATATCCTCCTTTTTTTAAGAAGCCACTAACTACAGTCTCCTGCTTCAGATGTAAAAAGAAACTCCTGTTAAGTAACTGTACCTTCTACATAGTTTGCTTGTGCAAAGAGGAGACTGAAATGGCTATATGCAGGTGCATATCATGGCTTATTAATATACTAATTGCCCAAATAGAATCATTATCTTCTAAGAAAGAAGCACTGGCTGAATTTCTCTTCCTTAGCATAGTACATTGTAACTTGGGTAGGCCCATTGAATCAATGAGGACTTGTCGAGTCAATTCTTCTGTAAGTTCCATTGATTCAAATGGGCCTATTCTAGTTGCAATGTACTATGCTAAATTCAGCTACTTTCATTGGTTGATTGCCATTAACGGACCAAACTTCGAAGACCAGTGCCCACAAATTCTCTTTCCCGACATTTTCAACAGCAAAAAAAGCCTGTTGGTCTATGGAACCATAGTGAAGCCATAGTATCTAATGATCAAATTATAGCTGTGTTCAGATGTAATGCTGAACCATGTTTTTCCTTTTTAAAGAAGAAGCCTAGCCACTTTCCCACCTCTGTCTCCTTATCCAGCAAAACAACAAAGAGAACAGAGAAGTAAAAGAAGTTGAACTGGCCATATGATGGAAAAATGGGATTGCTTGGAAAAATTACTTTTTTGGACTACAGCTTTTAGTCACAAAGTGCTTTTCCAACTTTGGAACAATTTTTTTGAAAGTTGCTTTGGTAAAAAAAAAAAAAAAGTAATTTTTTCCATTACCTTTCCTTAGACCATATAACCCACAGAAACCCCCCAAATAAATAAAATGCAATGAAATGAAATTCCAAGCTATGGACATTGGAGTCTACACAAAGAGTAAAAGAAAATACTGCTTGCATGCAGCCCCGCCTTCCCCTTGCACGCACACACGTGTGGCAGAAGAGGAGAAGCCTGCATGCAAGCACATAAATACATTTGTATACCCTTCCCAGTTCTCATTGAGTCCCAGGTGATCCATGCAGATCACCTGGGGAAGCAGTATTCCTCAGCTCCCCTTCTCTGTCATTTCTGGGAAAATTCCCAGAGAGTAATATTGTAATTAATATATAGTTTGATAAAGTACGTGATATAGTGCTCAGAGAAAAATATGTCTCATCAGCATTTATAAAGGTTACTGCCCTACAATAGATGGGACTTGCAGATGGGAAGCTACACATTGAATTTCTGTAACAAATGATCACAAGGTTTATGATAAAATATTTAAAATATGGGAAAAACACAGAAACTAGTTCTTACGATCAGCTTGTACTTGAACAACGTATCCCAATGTCAAGGCCATCCTTTGTGAATCAACGGTGCTCAAAATTTTGGCAGCTGTTGTGCCCAGCAAAGGCTTGCCATTGTATAAAGTATAATAAGTTAACTCTGCAGGCTCCTTGGGACCTGGAATCCGCTGCATTTTTACCATCTTTTTTTAAAATGACAACAAAGATAAAAGAAAAGAATTACTTCTAGAAATGCCAAAAATCTCTGTAGCAACAGGATAAAATTAGTACACAACAGGCTGGAAAATTAAATCTATAGTCTCAGTTAAAATCAGAGGATACATAAAAATCCAAAATAACAACATTTTGTGCAGAAAAATCATTAAGTTGCTCCAGAGCTTAAGAAAGTTACATCTTTGGTCTGTAACTCCCAGAATCCTCCATTTCTGTGCTTCTATAATTGCAGACTTGGAAATCTGTTAGTTGCATTCCCAAGAAAAAACTTTTCAAGCTCTGACCAGTTCATACCCCAGAGATTAAATAAGATTAAATAAATGAATAACATTCCAACGTATTTCCCAAATTTCCACTCCCTGAATAGCTGACTTACTCCTCTAACAAACTCTGCATTAAACCTAAGTGATTTGCAGAATATTTCCCTAAGTAGTCTCCAAAATGCATTTTAACAGTAAGGGAACTTACTGAGTCTTTTAGCTCCTTTACACAAGCATCTTTTGTATAGGACACTCACCATTGTCTTAAAAAAATGGGGAAACATAAGGAAGCAGAGAGCAAACTCAAGATATCAACAATTGGAAGCTTTCATTACACGGATTACATAAAAAAACAGAACGATTTGTTTTATGTAAAGCACATGGGCTTCAGAATGCCCCCACAGAGAACAATGTGAGCTTCTACATTTGAAACATTAAGGGGGAAAGCATCCAGTTGAGCTGGGGTAGATAAAGCTTTAAAACAATCTGTCTTATTCTTGATTAGAAGAGAACAGCAGTATTTTTGAGATGGGAAGGCCTTCAAACAAAAATAAGCCGCAACTGTTACAATTCTGCCCCTCTCATAGGGGTCTTCCATTCAGTTTCTGGAATATAATGACACACCTTACACAAAGATTCTAAGAAGAACAGGAGGAAATCAGAATGCTTTCTTTTTCTTCATCTTAAGGTCTTATTAGCTACCTGCACAGTGTAGCTGCCAACTGTAGTGGCTCGTTTAAATCGTCTTCCTTGCTGTTGAGACATCAGGAACAGTGGTGCTAAACGCTGCTCCATTAGTCTTGCAAAACTCTGGTTATTCACTCCCAACAAAGTAATGTCAACTCCCTGTATAACTGCAGGAACAGAGAAAAAGTAGCAATAGACGAAGGATATATTAACATTACAGCTTCAGGCACATGTATAGTTACAGAACTCAGAAGAACAAACTGGGTCACCTAAACCTACAGTATGCCTGCAAAACTCTTTTTCCTGAAATCTGCCAAGGAGGCAAATTCCACACGTTCACCCCCTGGGGGTCAGCTTACTCCAATATTGAGCTGTTCTTAATGTCGGAAGTTTCTCATAATATTTAACCTAAATTTGCTGTTCTGCAGTTTAAATCCCTTTGCTTGCTGACCTCATCCTCCTTTATAAAATCTTGTTAAATATTTGAATTGTTAGCATGCCACTTCCCTTAAACACAGTTTCTTTAAACTGAAAAGTTTTAACACGGCCACTGTTCTTCACTATAGCAAAAGTGGTGCGCATGTGTACACACACGCACGCACGCACGCACGCACACACACACGCACACACGCACACACACACACACACACACATACAGATGGAGTCTGAAAATGTTACTTGCTTAAACTCCCCAAATCCTTTTTAGACAGGCTTTTAACAGCTATTTGTACTGTTAAGAATTCCAATTTTGGGTTATTGTTTTATGTTTGCTTTAATCTGCTTTTAGGGTGCTTTAAGAAGTTTTAATTACTTTAATATATAAAATTGTTTTTAATGTAATAGTTTATAGTGCTTTTAACTGGCTTATCTTTTAATAATTTGTAAGCCACTTTGGATAGCATAGCTATCCAAAGGCATCACAGAAATAAAATAGATTAAATAAATAAATAAATAAAAATAAAATTTCCCTAGCAACCATTACCCTGATTGATGGAAGGATTTTGGAATTTAAAGCCTCCAAAAACTAAGCTTCCCAAATTCTGCACAGAGAATGTGGCCCAAAGCCAACATCAACCATCATGTTATCTAATCCAGCCTTGTAAAACAACAAGGCCAAGGCAGGTAAGGACATTCTCACAGACAGCTACTTTTGAAAATCAACGGAATATGAAAACAGAAAACTGTCTTCTAGGAGATTGTCGGAAGGAAAGGATTCACAAACAGTCAATGAATGGACTGCATGGAGATTCCTGCAGAAAAGAAGCTCTTTGAGTAAAGACAAATCTTGAGTCTGTCAAAGAAAGGACTTGGTGCCCTATTTACACCACTACATAAGCAGGATTAATCAATTTTAACTTGGGAAATGGTGTTTGTGGAAGGAGTTCCAGCTAAGATAGAGCCTTCAAACCAGATCCTGCAAGCTTTGACTCCCCTACTAATAAAGCTTAACATTAAAATACAAACGGTTTGAAAGTTTTATACCATAGCATATGAAAGCTATGCTACTGAACAATCCTTGCTTTCCCAGAAAGTAAGAAGACTGAGGGGAGAAGTGATATTTGGGCCTTTGGAGGCAAGACAGCATTTTCATAATATTTGCTTTATTTACAAATACAGGAACAGAATGTAAAATCAAGGTGCATGCTGCTTCCTGTTACATACTGAGGTAAACAACAAAGACTCCAACCAGGTTACAGACTTGCTAAACGATCTATCAAATCCACAGAGAAAGAGAAACAAAGCCCTGTTATCACCTTAGATGCCCTCAGCTTCAGCTTGTTCTGTGCTTCTAATCTCTGTCTGTTTCAAACTTGTTTGTCTCTCCATCACATCTTTTCCATCACAAAGTATATTTGACTTTACGAAGGGGGAGATGTTACCTTTCCAGATGTCATTTCCATATTCTGAGATCCAAGGATATTGCCAACTGCTCTTCCAAACACTGGCCCCATAAGGGAGTCAACCACCAACAATTACAACCTATCAATAAGGCTTCTGCTTAAAGAACAACTGGAAAGCAGCTGAGCCCAAAAGAACAACTAACGCAAAATTTCCTAAATCTACACATTCCCATTAGTTCCTTACAATTTTCTGTTAGACTAGTGGTTCCCAACCCTTCTTCACTTGTGCTCCCTTTGGCAGTACATTTCCCTAAATTTTACCCTTCATATTAGGGAGTTGGGGGCTAGTCTTCAGGCTGCTTCCTCACTGCCTCTGGTAGTGTGCATGAATGCACAAGCATGGGATTAAAATATATAATGAATTTTGTCCCAGTAGGAAAGGAGGAAAGGAGAAGGTGGCCCAAGCGGTGGGACAAGAACAGATGCTGCCTTGGAGCAAAACCCAACTGGCTGAGCGCTCATGCAGTGGCTGGGGAAAGAAGGAAGACGCCGAAGGGTTTCTCACTGCTTAGGGTATTAAAAAGCGACTTACGCTGTTGACATACTTGTCTTTTCCCATCATTAATCAATATTATTTAGTACCCCTAAATGTCCTGGGAGTACACATAGCCCAGATTGGGAATCACTGTGTTAGAGAACTATGAACTGATTAAGGGAGAGCAATGAACTATTTAAGGGAGATTCGTCATTGGCTTACATGAAGTTTTATCACATGCCACAAGTTTAAGACCAGCACATAGCCCAAAAAGGATAGGAATGGATGGTTGTGATCAGGCAAGGAAGATTCATATTACATTTTTAAAAAATAAGATAATGCCAGTCACATCTTAGTGTGCATGTTTATGATCTGTTTGTTTCCTAGACCTTGGTGTTTCTCTTCTTAAAACTGTTACACATGAGTTTAGAAATTTTTGATAAGAAAGGAAGAACTGTTCAGATAATTACTTAACAAATAACTGCAAAAATCACAAGCCACTGAATGTTCCACTAGCCAAACTGGAAAAAGTAGAAACCCAACTCACATTAGGAGCATCAAACATGTTCTCACAAGCCAAGAAAAAAATATGGGAAAAACAGTTGGAGGAATGTCTTCAAAAATCCAGAACTTTACCTGTAACCACCCAATAGTCTCTAGTGGCTTCTGAAGTATCCAGATTTGGGTATTCCAAAGCTTCAGATTAAAAAGAGAGAGAGAGAGAAATATTTACACTACAAGAAGCAAATATCTTAAAATTCCTACACTAATTTTCACAACTCAAAATAGAGAAAAACATCACTTAATAAGCTTTGTTTACTGATCATCATACCTTCAATATATACTCACTATATTTGAGAAATACCCTGGAAAGTAACTGAGGCTTTACTGATCATCATACCTTCAATATATACTCACTATATTTGAGATATACCCTGGAAAGTAACTGAGGCTGAGACAATGCAAAAATAGGTTTAAGCCACTGGCAATGGTGCGGCTACAAATATTGTAAATAAATAAATAAATAAAATAACCATATTTTGAATGGTGTATACCTATAAGTAATAAAAGGCCTGGCGTGCTCTGGTCCATGGGGTCGCGAGGGGTCGGACACGACTAAACGACTAAACACAATAAAAGGCAATTAAAATGTCATTTTAAACTACTGGATTCAAAAGTCCATCTACAATGACTGGTTTCCTTATAGGTTAGAATGTATAATACAAATGGCATAACATTTGGAAGCAAACTGCCCCAAGTTAAGAAATCACTATATATATTACTTGTTATGCAGAACTCAGGATGTAACAGGTACTGTATGTCTCTGATAATTTTCTAACCTGATGCAATTATTTTCCAAAAGTTATATCATTTGACTTATATATATATATGAATGACTATATGCACACAAATAATGTGTACAGATATAGAAGAAATTGAATGTTTTCATCTCAAAATATACTATTGAGGTTTAGGGCCTTGATATTGGACAGGATCTCTCCCACAAATTAGGTTACCCATCCTTCTCTCTCATTTCAGTCTTGATTTTAAGAACTGACACTCAAGGAGTCCAAAACAGTCAATACTAGGAATCAAGCTTTTTTGGTCATGGCCCCTTCCTTCAGAATAATCTTCCAATAGAATTTTACCAAGCATCACCCCTCTCATTTTTGAATACGCTATTAAGACAGAATTATATAAAGCTGTCTTCTACTACTGAGTACTGACCTGAGCTGTTTAAATGGATTTTAATTTGTATAGCTCTATTTAAAGGTTGGTCCGTTGCTTTTAAATAGCAACAGGACTTATTGTAATTTTGTCTTTTTAAGGTTTTTTAACATTATATTTTTTTTCATATGATTTACTGTTAAGTGTGAACTGCCCAGAGAGTGATAACGCTAATGGGATGCTATAGAAGTTAAACAAACAAACAAACCAACAAACAAACACTAATTCCTCTAGTTATTTATTTATTTATTTATTTAATTTATACCCCGCCTATCTGGCCCACCGGACCACTCTAGGAGGCTTCCAAATATAAAATCAAATAATAAAACATAGACAAATACACAATAATCAAACAAGAACAGCAGTAAAGATAAAAAGGAAAAGTAAGAAAAAAATCAAGAGTTGGCTGGAGGGAAGGCCTGAATAAACAGCCATGTTTTTAATTGGGTTTTAAAGGTGCCCAGCGTGGGGGCCGCGCGGATCGCCGGAGGGAGATTGTTCCAGAGGCGAGGAGCCACCGCCGAGAAGGCCCGGTTTCGTGTCTTCTCCTTCCGGTTTTATTATTTTTTATTATTTTATTATTTAGTAAGGTTTTATTAGGAAAAACATTATAAATGGAACTTGGCAAACTACCCTTTATTGTCTGTACTATAGGTATTTTCTGTAACAAAATCTTACTGCATCAACATAAGCAGTAGTCTTAGTAATTATGAAGGAGTCACTACAGTTCAAGGGGCAATGGAATGCTTTGGAAAGAGACAGTTTATCAAATACATTAAAACCATACAGCAGCACATTTTAAAAGCTCCAATATTTTTTCCAGGTTCATATTTCCAAAAGACAAATGATAAATATGTTCTGGAGGTTTGTGAGATAGCATATAAGCAGACATCATTCTTTGAATAGCTAGGAGAACAGTAGCTGGAAGCAAAACAGTCGTGGGGAATGGCATTGCTGCAAGGAATTTTGGGTGGGATTCATCCTCACCCCTAGGAGTAAACTTAACCTGCTCTTGTATTTTGATTCTTCTTTTCATTTCCACCACTACCACCACCACTTCATTTTCATTTTATTTTATTTATTTATTTTATTTTATCTATACCCCGCCTATCTGGTCGTTGCGACCACTCTAGGCGGCTTCCAGACAAATTAAAAATATACATATACCGAAATAAAAATTATAAAACAACAAACAATAAACAAATTCTTCAAGATGGAAAGATAACAAAGGATAAGTGAAGAAAGAAGAAATTAAGTATTAGCTGCATTGAAATCAATGCAGAACTGAATGGGCAGCCAATGCAATGCGGCCAAAGTAGGAGAGATGTGATGGAATTTTCTCACTCCACTAAGGAGTCTGGCCACCGCATTCTGCACCACTTGAAGTTTCTGCATAAGCCTCAAAGGTAGCCCCATGTAGAGCGCATTACAGTGATCTAATCTTGAGATTACGAGCGCATGCATCAAGGTAGTGAGCACCCCAACATCAAGATAGGGTCGCAGCTGAGCTATCTGCCAAAGGTCAAAGAAGGCGGTATGGACCACCAACGCCACCTGAGTTTCCATAGTGAGTGGCGGGTCCAGATGGATCCCCAAGCTGCGAACCCCACTCTTGGTGGCAAGAGTCACCCCCCAAAAAGAGTGTTTCCCAAACCACCTACTGTGGGGCCGCCCACCCTCAGGACCTCCGTCTTGTCCGGGTTCAGCCTCAGCCCTTTCATCTTATCTCTGGCAACTTTTAGGAAGACTGATATCCTCACTTACATTTCTTTGACAGTTTCTACTGTGCTCACGCAGCTCATAAAACTTTCCATTTCAAACTATAACTCCCAGAATCTCCCAGTCAGTATAACCAGCAGTCATGCTGGCTGGATGTTTATGACATTTATAGTCTAAGAAAACGTCATTTATAGTCCTGAAAAACATCATTGTGCAGTGTTTTTTAAAAGCTGCATTGACATGCGAGGTTTGAAGAAAAGAAACATGAAGTGTCATTCATGCCATGACCTTTGTCCATCACATGGTCTATGACTGCCTGAACCGGACTCTATCAGTTATACTTCTAAAAGGGCGCTGTTGAGGATTGAGGCTCCTATAACTTTGATAGCTCTGACTTTGTGAGCAGTACCATCCTTCCAAATGCACAATGTGTCTCTTTTGCTGTATCATTAATCTTATGGCTGACAACACAAAATAGGTGCCAGAGGGATTTCAAATAATAATAATCTATCTCTTTTTTTCAATTACAGCAATAAATCTAATTCTTTAATGAAAAAAGATCTGCCTTTATCAAGAAAACTTCACCCCAAAGACCAAACAGCCTCAAATGTCAAAACAATACTACTCGGTAAACTAAGGGCATATCCAGATGGGGGAGGTTGGAACAGTCTGGCTTGTGCTTAAACGCTTCTCACCTATATTGTAATCTATTTCATCTCTCATTTGAGTGATCCTTCCATCCACACTGATTCACGTTTTTCCTCCTGTGAGAAGGGTCCAGACAGGTATTTGATTTGCTTCAATTTCTCCTCCTTTCAATTAATGACACTCCTCTTCCCACCCACTTCACCTAACCATCATTCAGTGGGACATCATCTAACCACACCTCTCCTAAAAACGTCTTTGCATTTTTTGCATATGCATACCACTCGCTTAGCTAATTCATTCAAGACTGCTGCATCTCATTCCAATACTGCCTCTCTCCTACAGCCCACTGTTCATCCCCCCCAAATTCTGGAGTTTTAGAAAATGATCTGGAGCAGAGTGTTATGGTGTTGTTGCTAGCACCACAGAGGGAGCCCTCCACACTGGAAAGCAGGAAAGAAAGGCCTGATTTTACTGGCACTGGATAACAAAGTTTCCCACTGGATTTGGTGCTATAATTTCCATAATTTATTTTATTTATTATCTATTTGTAAAATTTGCATTGCTTGATATAGTTTTTTTTAAAAAAACCCTCTAGCAAGCTACATTAAAATGCAGATCTAATACAGTATCAAAAGAATGATACATACAGTATGATACATTTTGTCCTATGTATGTAAAGAATGATACGTACACAGGACAAAAACAAAAACAAAAAATTATCCCTGAATACTGGCCATGCAGGCTACAGATTTATGACAACTACAGTGTGGAAGGCACCAGGCTGTGTACCCCTGATTTATGCTCTCTGTAGCTCAGTAAGCCCCAAGTTCAAAAGCAAATAGAGCAGAATTTGCAAAGGTGTGCATTTAAAACAGAATAATGCAAAAGTATAAAGCATGTAAATGGTGAAGACCGTGATTCTCATAGAAATGCCTTTGAAACCTCCACACGGGTTACTGTTCCCAGCCGTAAACAGCAAAAGTGGCTCATCCTGTTTCAGGTCTCCACTGGCTGTTTGGAACATGGAGTAGGGACATGGAAACTTGTTGTGGCAGCTCTAGACTTCATAATTCACATTGCTATGCATTATAGTCAGGGCAAGAATGAGATCCAATGTGGGGTCAGGGGGGCGGGGAGACGGATTTAGTAAATCCAAGACTCTGGTCCCCACAAAGCCATGAAAATCAAAGTAAAACATTGGGTCAGTTACTCACACTCGGCCTGATCAAACTTTCAAAATTATTGTGAAGATGAAGTCAGCAGGAGCCCCTTAAGTTCAGTGGATGAAAAGCAGGACAGACATGCAACTAATAATTTCCCTTGGGAAGAACACAATAGGTATTTCAGTTGCAGGCCAATTCCCAGCACATACATCAATACTAGGGCTGATGTAATGACTCCCACAATACACAGTGATTAGAACTTCCTTCCTTATGCCTGTAGACTTGACTCCTAATTGACTGTAACCAGGCTTTGTGTGGCTGGGATTACAGGGCAGGACTTAGCAGGTCAACATGTGCAGTCTGGAGGCAGCTTTTAGTCTTGGCATCTCTCATTTTACAAATCAAGCATGGGAACCTATGAATACATAATCATCACTCAGCTGCTCTGGTTAGTCTACGAAGCTTTTGATCACCATGGGACTGGCTGGTTTATTCTTACTCTCACAAGACACTTCAGAGAAATATTTCATGTAACCACTAGCCAGGTAGCTAAGGGGAAAAAAGGCAGGATCATGAATGACTGATTTTCAAAAGGTGCTTTAATGTTTGCGACACATTTCGCACCACGTCAGCTTTTTCATCTCATATGAATGTCTCTACAATGACACAAAGATGTCATTTTTAAACTGTTACATCCTGGAAACAGTTATTAGACCAAATAATGCTCAGTAGGTTTCAGTTCAACATAAAGGAGTACAATTTGGCTCAACCTCAAGGTGTTTTCCCAGAGCATGTTTCCCTCACTGCATGCATTTGCGGAAAAATGTACAGTATATACACCTTACGACTACAACAGTCTAAAAAGTCTTCCTTGCTGCATGTGCTTCCTCCTTTGCTATTTCAACTGCAGGGCTTGGAAATGTTACTTTTATAAAATACAGTATTACATGTCCCTGAATCCCTCTGCCAGCACAACCAGAGACATAGTTATAACTGATAATTTGGCACTCAGTGTGGGCATGCCCTTTTTTGCAAGAGAAAAGTTACGACACTGGACCACTTTCTTCTCTTGGGAAGCTGCCATTCATTGCACAATCAACAGGAAGAAAAAAAAACAGACAAGGCTGTTTGACAAAGGCTATGGAATATCTGTCCCCACTCGATCCATGAGGTAAAAAAACTCACAGGTTTTCGTATTATGCCCTCCATCCTTCAGAACAACCTAAAATATTGGGGACCTCAAGTATGTAAAACAACACTGTATCCCCCTCTCCCCAAACATATTTCATTTTATCCAACTGGTATTATTTTGAGAAACCCTGGACCCATTTCAGTCGGGCTTCAGGCTGCGCCACGGTACAGAAACGGCATTGGTCACCCTGTACGATGACCTGCTGAGGGAGGCTGACAGGGGCAAAGTGTCTCTGTTGGTCCTCCTCGACATCTCAGCAGCCTTTGATACCTCTGACCACGGTATCCTCCTGGGGAGGCTCTCTGAGTTGGGAATTGGTGGCTTGGCATATTCCTGGCTCTGTTCCTTCTTGGAGGACCATCCCCAGAGAGTACAGCTTGGGGAGAGTGTTTTCGCCCCATGGAGTCTCAGTTGTGGGGTTCCACAGGGGTCGATTATCTCCCCAATGTTAACATCTATATGAGGCCGCTGGGTGGGGTCATCAGCGGGTGTGGAGCCTTGTTTCACCAGTATGCTGATGACACCCAGCTCTACATCTCCTTTTCTCCAACTGCAGGAGATGCCGTTCTGTCCCTTCAGCACTGCCTGGAGGCTGTACTGCAATGGATGCAGGAAAATTGGCTGAGACTGAACCCGGACAAGATGGAGGTGCTGACGATGGGCACCCCCACAGTAGGTGGTTTGGGAAACTCTCTCTCTTTTGAGGGGGGTGACTCTGGCCGCCAAAAGTGGGGTTCGCAGGTTGGGGGTCCATCTGGACTCGATGCTCACTGTGGAAACTCAGGTGGCACCGGTGGTCCGTACCGCCTTCTTTTATCTCTGGCGGATAGCCCAGCTGCGACCCTATGGAAACTCAGGTGGCACCAGTGGTCCGTACTGCCTTCTTTTATCTCCAGCGGATAGCCCAGCTGCAACCCTATCTTGATGTCGGGGCGCTCATTACCTTGGTGCATGCACTTGTAATCTCAAGATTAGATCACTGTAATGCACTCTACGTGGGGCTACCTTTGAGACTGATGCAGAAGGTCCAAGTGGTGCAGAATGTGGCGGCCAGACTCCTTAGTGGAGTGAGAAAATACCACCATACCTCTCCCAGTCTGGTCACATTTCATAGGCTGCCCATTCAGTTCTGCACTGATTTCAAAGTGTTGATGCTTACGTATAAAGCCCTAAACGGTTTAGGGCTCGATATTTGATGGAACGCCTACTCCAATCAAGATCTACCCATATCACTCGATCAAGTCAGCTTACGTATAAAGCCCCAAAACGGTTTAGGGCTCAATATTTGATGGAACGCCTACTCCAACCAAGATCTACCCATATCACTCGATCGAGTCAGGAGGTGAGGCTGAGGAGCCTAACGCCGAGGGAGGCATGAAAGGAAAAAAACAAGAAATCCAGCCTTCTCGGCGGTGGCCCCTCGCCTCTGGAACAACCTCCCTCCAGAGATTCTCCCTCCCGCCATCGCTGGGCATTTTTAAGACCCAATTAAAAACCTGGATGTTAAAGCAGGCCTTCCCTCCAGTAAATACTTAATTTCTTTCTTCTTCACTTTTTCTCTGTTACTTTCCATCTTGAAAAATTTGTCTACCATTTATTGTTTATTGTCATATATTGATTTACTTTTCTTGTTTTGGTATTTGTATATGTTTTCCTTTGATATTGTCTGGAAGCCGCCTAGAGTGGTCACAATGACCAGACAGGTGGGGTATAAATTTAATTAATTAAAATGTTATTTGATTTTGCAAAGAATTTTATCAAAATGGGAAGGTGGTTTGCAGCAGAGATAGGTGATAGGTTTCATGCCCCCCCTTTCAAACTACTCATAAGGAGTTTGCTTGCTTGGGTCAAAAAAAAGAAGCTGTCTGACAGCAGGCTTTTCCTAGGAGGCTCTAGAAAACAGCTCATTGCCTGCTCAAGCTAGATTTGTGATGGGGCCTGGCTTTCCTCTCCTCAGAGGGCTCTCTGGTGTTATCCACAGCTGGCCATGTAATTCAGATACTCTTAATTCCCCTTTGTTTCTCTCCTGCTCCCTTTCAGGTCTCCTCTGCTCCACAGCCACCCAGACTACCCCAGCTGTTATACTTTTACACGGAATTGTTCTATCTTCCCCTCCTGAATCTGTACTCAACTTCCTTGGCCAAGGTGACCAGGGAACTTGTTTCAGAGTAGTCATCAAATGCTGCCCCACCACAACTCCAATGGGATACCTTTCCACCTCTTGTTCTTTTCAGCAAACAGTAAGTCCCAGCAAATTACCACAACCACCATAAACAAATTCTGGGTCTTTGTCCAACCATTTAATGAAGAACTACAGTTGTGAAACGCTTTTGAAGTCCTTATAAAAATGAGTATTTCATAGTTGTATGAATCACATGCTTCCCCCTGCCCCACATATGCACTCAAAACAACATTTGCCATGCTAATCTAGGACTCTTTTAAGAAAGGAAGAACTGCATTCTCGAATACAAGGAAGAATTATTAGCCAAACACATGGATGAAGGAAGCATTTGTTTTGTGTGAAAAATAATGTATTTAAAGCAGGGCAAAGCTGTGGTACATACATAACAACAGGTATGTTTCCAAGGGATGTTTCCTGCAAAACACAACTCACAAGCAAATAGTGAAAAGTGTAAGAAATCCTGAAGGATTACCTTCGGCGATAGTCAGAGGTGGGTAGGTGAGATAGAATCCCACCAATTCTGCTGAAAGATGATTAAGAAGGTTGCTTGACACTGTGCCATTCAAGACTGTGGTTTCATTTCTCACCACATAAAAGAGACTGACAGACTGAGAAATATTTGAGGTGTTCAGAATCTGAAAGAAACAAATAACAGGTAGTTACATTTTCATTTGTTACTTTCCCCATATAATGCTACATCAGTGCAAATGACAAAGGAAAATTTTAATCATGCTGTTATTGTAAAACGTACATGCTTGTGGGTGTTTTAACTTCTCAACTAGATTATCCAGTTTTATTACTGAATGCAGGCTGGAGGGAACATTTTCACTTTGGAAACAAGAGGGTACATCCAGAAAGTTGTCATTTCAGAAGCTTCTGTTTCAACATTTCAGAAGATGACACAATTTAAAGCTTTTGGGCACTTTAGTCTACACTAGGTGTTCCGGGCTGATGGGCAAAAGCACAGGACAGGTATAATCCATATCTTGTTCATAATGGTGTGCTGTGGAAGAAAGTTTTCTTCCTTGCTCTCAGCTTTGTCTTGAAATACCTAAGCAAGAGCAGAAGATGCTCTTTTCTAAGCAAGCATGATGCATCTACAGTATCTCTATACTGTACTGATTCCTGAAGAAATGATCAAAATTCACATTTCTTTTACTACATTCATTATCTATTTCTTCTTATCATACCTTGGAAGCACATCCTATATCTGCATAATACTGGGTATGTGAGAGGTATTTGATAAGCATGAATATGAAAGAATTTCGGCCACTGATCTAGTTTCTGCTGTCTTTTAAATGACGGTCACTGATTTTTATTCATTGTGCTCCCCCATCTGTTCAGAGAATCATAGAATAATTGAGTGGGGCCTAGAAGGCCATTGAGTCCAACCCCTGCTTAATGCAGGAAATGTTATTACAGTTAAATCCTCATGTCAAAAATGTGTTGGATTGTCAACTGTGCAAAGTAGAAACAAGGTGAGAGAGGCATTGGTACACCAAATCCTCTGAGAAAGTTTAGAATTGAAAAGGAAGTGGATGAGGGAACGGGCAGGAAAACTACAAAGGACACACACCACATGTTCCATGCACAGGTGAGTCACAACTTCCTCCATCCACACAAAGTTCTGAAGTGCACCAAACTGAAGTGGGGGAAATGTGCCTATCTTCACAGTAGTGCCATCTTCTACAAAGTAATGCCATGCCCACACAAATTGTCAGATGCTTACAGAGCGTTTTAGGCAGGTCAAATGCACGTGCATTCAATTTGCACTGACCTGCAGCAAATATCTAGGGCAGACAAGGCCTCCATCTTTTTTTGAGGTTCATAAGAAAAGCAAAAGAGCAAGGATTATTCCCCTTCATATTCTGAACTCGAAGAGAGTGCCATAAATTATGGTAGGCACTGTACACAGTATAAAGAACACAGGTCCCTGCTTACAACTAAAATATTCTTAAGTATCAAGAAGTTTAAAAAGTGTTTAGTACCATTAAATACAGAGCTTGGAATGTTACTTTTCTGAAATACAACTTGATGAACTATCCAGCCTGTGGCCCTGGCCACAGTACTGGGTTGTTCTTTTATGAGGGAGTGGATATATGTTGAATGATTCCCTGTGTGGTGTAGTGGATAGAATGATGGATTAAGAACTCTGGAGAAGAGGGTTTGAATCCCCACTTGGCCATGGAAACCCACTGAAGGGGTGAAACTGGTAAAACTATTCCATAAATATCTCACTTACCTTGAAAGCCCTATTAGGGTTCTTTCTATGTCAGTTTCAACTTGACGGCACAGAACACATATACTGTATGCATTTGTTGAATGTGGGATTCTGGAAATTGCAAGCCTGGCTTAGGAGATGAAGAAAGTGTGGCCCCCAAAAAGTAAATTTTCCAAGCTCTGGACTGCAGACGTGCTACCATAATGAATTAGAGAAGCCATTAGCTCCCTTGGTAAAATGGAATAAATATCACTATCAATACTGTATTTTTCTGTGTATAAGACACCCCCACTTTTCTAACCCAAAATTGATTTCTTTGTGAAAAGTTGCTTTCCCCCTTGCAAAAATTGGAGGGGGAAAGCAGTCTTTTGCAAAGAGAGTGTAGGGGAAAAGCACTTTCCTCTCAAGAAAGTGAAGGGGGGGAAGGAATCACTTTCCCCCTCCACTTTCTTGCAAGGAAAGTGCTTTCACCCTCCCCTTTCTTTGCAAAAAGCTGCTTTACTCCTCCACTTTTTGCAAAGAAAGTGGAGGGGGGTGCTTTCTCCCTCCACATTTTTTGCAAAAAGTGGAGGGAAAAAGCAGGGATCAAAGCGCTTTGATCCCTCCCCCCTCCTTATTTTTCCTCTAATTATTTTATGAAAAAGTGCCATTTTATACACAGAAAAATACGGTAAATATCATTTTCCTCAGTATTTCCATGCTTCAGCTACAGTATTTTTACTTTCAATTATCTTTTTTTCTTAATAAAATTGTTTACACTGAGTTTCCTCTGCCTCTGATCTACCAAGCCAAACACAACATATTTGCCAAGTACAGCAGCCTACAGGGGCTTCGAACAGCTCGCATTCTGTTGCTTTAAAGGAACTATAAAAATGATTGGCCTGAGGGTTGTACAAGGAAAGCCATAATACATAGTTAATGGTCTGCATTCCACTTGGTGGGATACCATCTGCACAAAACATCCTATGGGTGAGGTTAGAAAAGATACAAATTCCAAAAATACATTTTGCCATTTACTTGCACTGCTAATAATTTCTAAAGAGTTACGAAATTTTGCACAGAGCTGCTGCTTTAGATCCAGCGAAAATGCCATACCAAATGACTGCTAGGGGCATAACGACATACATTTCTAATACATGGACACAGTTTACCATTTTTTTTTATTCTAGTGTAATTTAAATTAAGAACTATTATCAAAGGTACTAAATATATACATATTGAAGAATATGCCATACATATATCTCCATGCACATAAATGTGGACTGGACAAATATATTTAATGTGTTACTTATTATTACTGTACTTTTCAAGCACTATGAAATCCAGGGAAAAAAAAGAATGAACACAGGATGCAAGATCAGTCCTCTTCACTAACTATGCTGTTAAATAAAATCAACTTAATCTAGAAGGAGTGCCAAAAGAGAATAAAAAGCAAGAAGAAGAAAGAGAGAGGGAGAGAAAAGGCAGAGAGAAAGAACTTTCACCTGAACAGTTAACTTGCTAGTGGTGTTGAAGACTTTTTTCTCAGCATCTTGAAATGCTTTCTGCAATCGTAGTTCCATGGTCTGAACAAATATGCATGACTGTATGTTGTCCGACTGGCCCACAAACTGCAGTTCTGGATGAAGAATAACCAACATGTTAAGTGAGCATGTATTTTCTGTTTTGCTTTCAAAAGACTGCAATCCTGTTCCTGCCTAAGAGAAAATAAATTCCACTGAACAGAATTTACTTCTGAACAGGCATACACAAGACTGCAGTACAAAAGCTTTTCAGAATCCAGCACAGGAAACTGTTGTAGCATTAAATAAGCTGTAATAAGATATTTGCTTTACTACTACGACAACGACGATGATGATTGATTGACTGATTGATTTAAATACCAGAATATGTATTTAAAATATTTTTATCCTACCTTTCTTCTAAAAAAAAAACAAAACAGTGGTGGCAGCTGCTGCTGCTGTTACTATTACTACTGCTGAATAATCTTAGAACTGTAGAGCTGGAAGGGACCCATGCCAACCACATGTGCATTAAACATGTGCCTCATCATCACATGTTATGACAGTCATAGCAGCAAAAAATCTGTCAGAAACCTCTAAAATGACTCTGATAATATAAAACTGGGTGCATAGCCCTGAGGATCCTTTCACGGAAAGAAGAGAATGGGAAACCATGTCTCTGGTCTTCACTCTCACATAGAAGCGAAGGCCTCTTCTCCATTTACTTATCTTGTGATGTGATACTTGTGAGAGTGAAGAAAGCTTTCTGCTTCACATCTTTTGTTTTAGACTCATAAGTAAATTAAACCAAATGTTGTCAATCCATTTCTGAAAAATTAATCACCAAAATCCTGTTGCTTAGCATAGTAAATCCACTGAATTACTGGGGATCTGGTGAGTCAACTCTTCCATAAATTCAAATGGGCCTACTCTAACTGCCCCTTGCTATGCTAAAATAAGTCACAGCTAGAGTAGGCCCATTTGACACAATAAAACTTATGGAGAATTTTACTTACCAAACCCCATGGGCCTGCTCTAGTGTAGCTTACTACATTAACTACCCAAAATTTGGTCATTGATTAATATTAAGTTAAGCAGCAAAATTTCATTATCAGCCTGCATTGGTTCATCTGCATTGGGACACTCCCGCCAAGGATATAAAATAAATTGGACTATGCAAATGAAGTTTTTAATCTCCATTTAAGATTAATACTGTAGGTTATGGCTGCTTATCTTCAGAGATGTACACTCATGACTTGCCTGTTTTCAGTTGAAAGTGGTAAGCTGGCAGTGGGGTCCATGGCAAGGCTAAGACAGCAACAGAATGAAGATTTGGCACGTGTTCCTTAATATCCGAAGTGGCATTACTAACACCGTAAGCAATCAACATTTCTATAACCACAGCAGGTATGAAAACCAGTCTCTCCTGAGTTACATAGTAACCAACTGTCACATTGTTTGATTGTTCCAGGATTTCAATCTGGAAAAAAAGGACACGGGAAAAACAGCATTCACCTAAATTTCATACATCATCTTCAAATTAATAATTTTATTTCAGTTGTGCAGTTAGAAGCTCGTAGAGAGCTGCGTGAATGATTTCACTGCAGAGAGAAATAGAATCATATATTTTAGTCTTGCAAATTCCAATCAACCAGGTTAACTGAGTATGCACACCAGGTATTCCAATGGTTTTTTTTGAGCCATTAATTAGCATAATTAGAGTAATTTCTACTTCAGGAAACTCAAGATAATATTTTCCTTTCTATAAAATTTAAAGTCATTTAGAAAAACAACATTTCCTTAAGATCATTAGTGAGCACAAAATCACAACATTTCACTGCACCTTGGCTACCTATGACCTCTAAATCTGTTCCCATCTGTTGTGATTTGACATGATGCTGGCAAGCATGCGACATCAAAGCCTTATGGTCACCTTTCTCAGTAACTTCACTAATCTATTTCAGGACCTCTACAGGCTTATTCTCAAAGGATCCTAAGCTACCCAGAGTATGTTCACTGCTGGCTTTGTAAACTGTTTATGCCCTATTCATTAGGTCCCATAGCAATGAAAGGGGCACCAATTGCTATGCTTAATCTATAAGTCTGATTCGCCAAGCTCTTATGTCTGAGAAAATCCTACTGTGGGAGTTGAAGTCAGTTGGAGAAAATCCACATTTCCCTTAATATCTATTTGATCCAAAATCTTTACCATAAGATTGTTTTCTAACACTCTCCATTCTGCCTCAGATGGTGTAATCATCTGGAGAAGAATCAATAAAACAGAACCTGGAAAAGTTACAGGCCACTCTGTTTGTGATCATTCAGGCAGTTGCAGTCTGAAAAATAACTTTTCTAAGTCTCCTCTACTGTGAACAAGAGACAGCAGACAATAGCCTAGCTGCTTCCTTCCTTCCTTCCTTCACGTGTTTAAACCTTGGGCAGTAAATCCAAATATGACATTTTGTTCCTCCAACATTTATGCTATAAACACATGCTTCTGCCAGAACTGTATACTAAGAATCTCCTTGGCAACCTCAAGCATTGTCTTTTCAGTATGTTACCACTACAGACATAAGGGATCTATTTCCCATCAGTAGTTTTGCACTAGATAACCTTTTGTCCCATGTAATTAAAATGGACAGTGATTAATGTGCCTCCTATTCTCCTCAACCCCATTTTCTTTTTTTCCCCAAAATTGCTTTCTACCAGCAGATTTAAAGTTCTTTAAACTTTAAAGAAATCAACAAATCAGACAAGCTAGAGGGCAGCTTAACAGTGACAGTTCAAGTTGTTATTGGGTTTCCTAGTGAATTTGATGAGGAATTGTAAATATGAACTCTGTACAGAAATATTCTTAATTTTCTAATTTCAGATGTCATAGTGGTCTGCAAGCCAATAGCTGTCACCCACAAGGGAGGTGACTAACATTTGAATCCCTGTTACCTGCTCTATTGGAAAGCACTGAATTTTCTAGCGAGACAAACTGCCATCACTGTGAAATATGCCCCAAACTCTGAACAAGTAAAAGCTCATGCCCTGCACTGCTTGACGATCACAAGCAGGTGACAGATGTGCAATTTTTTTTAAGGCAGGGAGGTATAAACTTAATCATGGCAAGAAAAATCGGTATTAACGTCATTTTTCTTCTAGGTTCAGGAGAAACTGTAGAAATATTATCTTCCCACTGACATGAAGCTGACTGCAAATGGCAGATAGAAATACTATACACTCTTATAAATCCTCATTTAGCTTTAGGCTGTTACACATCAACATTCGACTGGCACACTGAGAAAAACCAACTGAAATATATGTACAGAGAGAGAGAGAGAGAGAGAGAGAGAGAGTTCTCCTGGAAGAAACAAAACCAGAATTCTTCCTTTTAAAGGATGAGAACACAATTATATTCTTTTTAGAAAAATCAATTTTAGTTATCAGATTTAAAAAATGCCACATTTAAGCTGCAATCCTTTGCTTACTTACTGTTTGCTAGTCCCCCTGAACTATGTAGGACTTATTTTGATAACTCTTATAAGATCAAACTGTTTGGATAGAAATAATTTCCCTTCCATTGTACAGACTTTAAATTCTGTTGTTGGTATTCTGTTGCTGTTAAGTCGCTTCCAACTTATGGCGATCCTATGAACGAGCGATCTCCAAAATGTCCCGCACTCAATAGCCCTGCCGCGTCAAGCCTGTGGCTTCCTTTAGGGAGCCAGCCCATCTCCTATTTGGTCTTCTTTTCCTGTTGCCTTCCACCTTTCCCAGCATTATTGTCTTTTTTCAGAGAATCCTGCTTTCTCACAATATGCCCAAAGCAAGATAGCCTCAGCTTCAAGCTTTTTGACTCCAGAGATCATTCAGGCTTGATTTGATCTAGGACACACTTGGTCTTTCTGGCAGTTCAGGGTATCTGCAAAGCTCTCCTCCAGCACCTTATTTCAAACAAGTCATTTTCCCCCCCGGGCAGCTTTCTTAACTGTCCAGCTTTCACACCCACACATTAAATACCCTTTAAATACTTAATCTATAAAATGATAATGACTTCGCTGAAATTAATTATATTTCATACATCACTAAAACATTGTTCTATATATTTTAAACATTCAAACTTCTACTAGAAGGGATGGAGTAGGAAAATGGGAGATACAGCATTTCTTTTTAAATTCAACTTTAAAAGAAAAACAGCCCAAATGGCTTTGGGTTGTCAAATGCAATAATTATATGGTTGTCTACAGAATCCACTGATCAGTATTCAAATTTATTCTGAATACTCTTTATGAGAAGTGTCCCAGCAGTTGATAACATAAAAAGTCACCACAGACTGAACTTTACCCCAAAAACTGATTGTACCAATAATCTGCAGTTCCCTATGAATACAGGTGATACGTATTGTTTCACTTACTGATGGACTTCCTGTCTATATTTCTTATCCTATTGAAGTGATATTTCTTTGAGTTCCTGTACAGATATAAGTATTGTAATGATATGAAATTCAACAGAAAATGTGAGTTTTTAAAATGATTTATTTTCACATATGATATACATTCAAAAGCATTTCCATGAACTCTGGACATTCCAGAAGCAGTATTTTAAACTCATCACTATTCAGTTCTCAGACTGCATTCTTAATTTGATTATAAAATACCAGCTAAATGTGCTTACTTGAGCATTGACATTTTGGTTGAAAGCCTGCCGCAATGCCTGGGTAAGACCTTTTGTGACATTCTGTTTGAAGGAGTCATTCAGCAGCAGCCTTCTTGTGTTCAGAAACAAAACTAGGACACAAAGTCACACATTAATTTATAAACAACCTCTGTTCATTTGCTTAATATTCTATTACAAAAGCATAACGACTGGTCACACAGGCTACACACACAAAAAAAAGCTGTATATAGTAGGTGAAAATGAGCTCAGCCCTGACACCTTCAAGCAGACAAAAGCTGGGAGTCAAATGGTTGGGAATCAAAGGCCACTAGCTGCTACTCAGTTAAAACCCATGCAGGCATGCCAAGTCGTTAAAATCAGGCCATTTTTTTTTAAAGTGAAGGATTATCTTAAAATAGATTAAGAAAGCCATTTAGCATTATTGACATTCATGACTCAAAAAAATCTGCAAAGTAGGTTATCATGATAAATTAATATCCCTCTAACTTAAAAGGAATTACTAACCTCATGAAAGAATAATTTCTGGGGGGGACATGATCCCAGATATGTCATTTGACAACTCTTGCGGTATCTGGGTTATGTGAGCACAATACAATGCACCAGCTAGCAGCCTAATGGCCACATATCACTCATTTTGCACCAAGTGAAGATCCCTGACCCTCCCTGGCCCATGTAGAGCACTTTATACTAGTCAAGGTATAAGGTAACAAAGGCAGGGATGGTTGTTGCCAAATCGCCCAGAGACCTTTGGGTAGTGTGGGCGGTATATAAGTCAAATAAAATAAAATAAAATTTAAAAAATATAAATCAATCAATCAATCAATCAATCAATCAATCAATCAATCAATCAGCTTGGCTCAGGAAAGGACACCACTGATATGCTAAGCAAACTTGTGTAGACAAACCCCTTATTATTGTTGCCACCTTGGAACCCAAGGGATCTGGAGAATCCAAGAGAATTCCCAGACTATGAACCTGATCTATCTGTGGTCCACAATTCCTTCTAGAAAAGAAGTTGAATCCAAGTCCCCGAGCCTGACTTTTGATCACCAGCAGTACTTCTGTCTTCTCAGGATCTAACTTTAGTTTGTTTGCCCTCATTCAGCGTATCACAGCACTGAATTCAGGTAGTATTCAAAGGTACTGATTGGATATCAAAGAGCAACTCATGCCTCCACAAGAGTGTATTCTGAGCTTTGGAGTAAGGTGTCACCAATATTCTGATGAAACCTTACTCCAAAACTCAGAATGTACTCTTGTGGAGGAAAAAGATGATCCTATTACCAGCACTAATACCAACATAACTCAAAGTTCCCAGCAGCTTCAGGTAAATAAATAATACAAGAAACAGGGTAGAGCCCTAGGTATACCACACACCAAAGGCCACGGTGCTAAAACTGCTCTCTCAGCACCACCTTTTGAGCACATCTTAAGAACAAGGATCAGAACCACTGCAACACAGTGTTCCCAATACCCGTTGTAGTCATGTGGTCCAAAAGGATACCACAGTCAAGACAGAGTGAAGGCAAGAGATGCAGTTAATGTGTCAACACTAGAACTATCCTGGAACTGACTGATGGGTGAACATTGATACTGATGTGTCTGAATTGTTCAGGACATATCTAGTACGTATAAGGAAATGCCCTAACAGTGACCTGTTATTGTTAGAAAGAAATGCAACAATTGCAGTAACCACATAATTTAGGAAGACATTTTACCAACCCAGCAAACATATATAGAAAAGAGACCAAAGGAGGAATCCTGATCATGTCTACATGGAACTTTTTCTGTCATGACCAGCAAGCTTCCTGTGAGAACTAGCCAGAATTGGACAAGACATCAGAGGAAGGGGAGGAATCTATTAACACATCTAATACCTACAGAGTTCAAGGGAAGTCAAGAAGAACTTGATGCCACCACTGCCCAGGACAACATCCTGCCCGCAGAATCCACTGATTCAGAGAACTGTATGCATCTTGCCTGATCTCACCCTCATCTCCAGGGCTTCCCTGGAGCAAGCTAGCATTATGTTCAGATTGAGGCCCAAAGCTAAAGGAACAGTGCCCATCTGGCAGCTTATCACTTCCCATCTGTGACTTTTACTCATGAGGAGGAAGTCAGATTCTTTAATTGGTCCAGGCTCCAGGTGAGGTCTCTGATACATGCTAGGAAGCAATGAGATAGCAGAAACATCTGTACAGGCACTTACCCTAAGAATGGTTGCAACAATAGCTACTCTTACTACATTGTATGTGACATTTTTGCCAAACAGTTCATTTTCTTTGTGGAACACAGATGGCTCTCTTTCCTTTAGAATTTTGAACCACCTGGCATTGCTAGAGCAAACAGGAGATGACCACAACTAGAGGCCCATGAATGTCACATTGCACAATTTATTATTTTTTAATTAACTGTACAACTATTAATAGTCTTTGAAATATGCATGTATTGCATCTCACAATTTAACCACAATTTATCTTCCAGTGACATTTAATAAATTATTTTTAACTACCTGATATTAATATCACTTTTCTTGCCAAAGGCAACATCTCACCCCACCATATTAATACCTACACATATTCATACCTGTCTTAATAAGAAGGTTTCTGGAGAGCTGGCATTCCAAAGGAAGAACTGTTGTCACATTAGCAAAAGCTGCAGTTGACACTGGTGGGGTAGTAATAGCAGCAGCAGCAGCAGCAGCAGAGGTATTTTCAGCAGGTGTAGGGAGAAGTCTAGTTGTTTTCGCTGATGCTGTAATAGATGTCAAAGCTGCTGTAATTGTCAGTGGGTATGCAGTTGATGTTTTAGTGATGTCTGAGATTGTGGGTTTCCTGTGGTTAAGTACTGTTGTTTCAGTATGTTCTGGTGTATGTGTTGTGGGAGATGAAACTGTACTAGACTTAGAGTTTGGAAGTGAACTGGTGGTATGCACAGGTGTTGCAGACTCATTTCTTGATACAACTGGAAATGTTGCATGTGTCACTATTGGGCTTAAAGTCAGTGCCATTTTTGTGGCAGTGCTACTTTTTGCTAGTGTAGATATTAACGTGCTTAATGCCATCACAGATGGCAAATTTTCAGTGCTCAGTGAGAACAAGGATGAAGTCCGCATTGGTGATGTCGGAGCTGAATTTCCTGTAATTGGTGTTGCTTCTGAAGTTGCTACAGATGGTATTACACCAGGAGACACAGACGGTAACACTGTAATGACAGAATGGGTAGAGTTGGTTGTTGGCAACAAAGAAGTTAGTTGTGTTTGTGATGCATGGACAGGGGTTATGATGGCTGCATTAGTGGTATGTGTTTGCGATGAAGTGATCTCAAAGGCTTCATTAAGCACTTTAACTGTATCTAGGTCATTATTTGCACCTTTTGTATGCCATCTTACTGCTCTTAATGTTGGTGGCTCTGCACTCAAGTAATTATTTGTTTCTGAACCAAGGTTATTAGTGAACAGTGTTGTTTTTCTAGAAGGCATGTAGTCTTCAATGATACCTAATACTGGTGTTGAATTTAATAAATCATACACTGGGGTGGGAAAAACTTTTGCTTTTTCACTACTATGCAGTGGAACAGTTAATTTAGCAATGAACTGGGACGCCAGTGATAGTGGAGATGATGTAGCATAGAAGGCTTTCTGTGTGCTTAGGCTTTCTGAGTCAGTTGCTTGAGTCTTCAGTACAGTCTGGGCTTTGGCATAAGAAACAAAAGGCCAGAAGTGAGAATATGATGATGAAGTTGGGGAGAATGCATTCACCTTTGTAGATGGTCTTCTGTAAGCAGCTGTGAATTCCTTAGATACAGAATTAGATTTTTTTTCAAAGTCTGAAGTTAAATTCATGCTTCTAGCAGTAAAATACTCCAGAATATTTCCAGGAGTGTTTGTATCCTTTTTTGATTGCAGTGGTGGTACTTCCGTGCTTTGTGAGAAGTTCTCAGGAACAGAAAAATTCTGATTAAAGGATGAATCCATAGTCAATGAGGATGGGTTAATTTCTGTGAGACTTTCAGACTTGATTCTGGTTACAGTGGAATCTGAAATACTCTGAACATATGGTATGGGCATATCAACAGACGATGTTGTAGAGCTAAAAGGGATTTGTTTATTCAGATAATTTGCTTGCTGCTGGAGATCTGGAACTTCTGTATACATTATTCTTAAAGGTACAGGGCTTGCATTATTTTTTGTAAGTTGGGACATAGTGGCCATTCTTTTTGTAGAAGACCCTGTAACTCCAGTAAAAGACTGCCAATCTCCAACATCCAACTGAGAAATTAAAGCTGTGGTTTTACCTATCTTTCCTACATTAAAAGTACTTGAGATGCCTTCTGAAGCAGCACTAGAAACACCTATGGAAGCTGCTAATGGGCTTTTCAAATTTTTTACTGTTGGAGTAAATGAGGCCAAGACATGTATGTCTGAAGGTGGGCTGGTGGGCCTGTAGGATGTCTCAGACATATTTAAGGTTTCGCGCATTTCAGCATCAGATTTATTTAAAGGTGGGTAAGATAAATGTTCTGTAATGGTAGATTTACCTACATTTCCCCCTTTCTCTTCCTCCAAGCTATGAGATGAGCTTTGTTCATTATACTCTGGTAGCTGTAAATTCACAGAATGATAAGGGGAAGATATAAAGGTAGTCATGGGATGAGATTTCAAAAGGCCCCTAAAGGAAGTCGGCAAAGGTTGTGACAATGCACTGGAGCGGGTTCTTTCCTGTGACCAAATTTTCCCAAGCACTGGCTTCCATGAGGTCTGTGGTTTTGTGGTTTGTGTCCATGACGACTGGAAAGGAAGGACACTATTAACATTGGCTTCTGTGAACACTGAGGCTGCCATACCTTTTGGGATAGATCGGCGGAGTACCGATTTCACAAAGAAATAATTAGGAGGCCACAATGCAGGTTCATTATCTCTAGGAAGTATGACTCCATATGTTGTACCAGAAGTGTCTTTTGTGAAAGCCCACCTAGTGATGTGAGGGTTCACTAAATGAACCTTTAGAGAAGCTTTCCCCTTTGGTAAAGAAACAGTAACATGTGCTGCTGTGTTAAAAGTCTGATTTGTTCCCACTATTGCAGAAATAAATTTATCTGTGGAATAGGAGAGTGGTATATTTGTAAGTGCTGGTACTTCAGCTATTGCATTTTTAGTGCTTATTGCTTCTGAAATAGCTGGAGTTGACACTGTTGAGGAAGACACATTTGTCACCAAATGAAAAAGTCTTGGGTTTTCAGAAGCTGATGTCAAAGGTCTCTCTTTGGCAGAACTAGACACTGGTACAGAACACAAAATGTTAATAGTTTTCAGTAATGCAGATGGAATATTTGAAGTATGGGGGGCTGATGCAGAAACCCCAGGATTTGTCATCTTGTTCTTACGAACAGACGGAAATGCAGATACATAAATGTCACTCTCTTTATGAAATCTCACAGCTTCAGGCGGTTGACTCATAAGCATTGCTAGAGAAGATGCTTTATGAAATAATCCCGAGAAGGAACTGTTTTTGCTAGAATTCAACAGCATTTTCTGAGCAGATACTACAAGAGAAGTTTGGTTTGATGTTATTGCATGCAAAATAGGAGAATTCAGCTTCCAATTCCTTGAGGATGTGTGTCTGCCTACTGGTATTGCAGGGTATCTATTAATCAATCCAGAGTTATTACTAAAAGAGGGAGCAACTGAAAACTCTTTGCCACCCTTTCTGGATACTGAATGTTTTCTTCTGCCAGAATTTCTAGCAGTTAGTATGTTCAGTGGGTTACCTGAACGTTTAAGAATATGAGAGTTAGCGGTGTTCATGATGAGTGAAAATTCTGTATTTGTGGATGAAGGCACTTTGGTGGGTTGTACAGTCAACTTGGAAACAATAATGACATGAGGTGACTTTTTAACAAATGGCAAAAAGGATGGAGATGAAGAGGTTGAAAGTATGTCTGATCCTGGAGAAATCTCATTTGAAATGGGAGATGTTACATATGGCATTATCTGAGATGGCACAGTATTAGCTGGACGGGTCACTGATGGTGATGTGGACAAAGCAGAAAACACACTGATCTGAGGCAAACCTGATACAATAGTCATTTCATCAGCATCTTGAGACCTCATGGATGACTCAGCCGATACCTCAGGAGGGTCCTGGGAGGCACTGTTGCCACTGCCTTGATATAGAGTTGGCAAAACCCTAGTTTGATCCATCGTTCTGCTCCGTGTCCCTGCTAATGTACTTCTTATTATCTGACGCAGATTAGCATTCTCCAAGGCTTGCTTCACTGAAACGTCAGCCACTGAGGAAGACTCAAGTTCTCTAGAAGGCCATGTTGGTGATAAGATAGCTCTCCAGTTGGTAAAAGATTCTGAAGAGGGGGCAACATTTATCTGCTGTTGCTCAGTACCTGCAAAATAATATATTTTTGCTGAATGACATCCAAAGATCTAGCCTTCAAATCATACAATATAACAGAATTTCGTTAACGAGGACTTAGACTCCCCCCTCCCACTGAAAGTGAAAATGGCATGCTTGACGGGGAGATGTATGAGCAAATATAGACTGGGTCAAAATGCAGCTCCAAAATGCCTTTTCATCAGCATTTCTGTCATTCCTATAGCTATAACATTCAGGAGGAAATAAAGGTCACCAAAGTACACCCTCGCTAGGCTGGCAGCATACTTCAGATTGTCAGAAGGAAATTAAAAGCTCATATGCGCATGCGCTGTTTCTTTTACTGACTGACCCCACTAGAAATACATAGGACAAACAGGGTATATGTGCTCCAGTTCTAACTGTTGCTGTTGTTCACAGAAAAAAAAAAAGAAAGAAAGGCTTGGCCATGCTGCACTTGACAACACTCCCAATGTTTCTACCAGCTGAGCTTGCCAAAGAAGCCTGGGGGTAGTAGTAGCTAAACAAAGGGAATAGAAGCTGACAACCAAGCAACACTGAGTTGGCAAATGGTGCAGCACAGGAACAGTGTCAGTGCTGGCTGACTTCCTTCATGGAGCAGCTGTAGGTGTTTATCTTGCCAGCCTTAATTATATGCACAATTACATGCAAGTAACCAAGAAAAGAAAGCAGGGATCAAAACTAGAAAAAGGCAAGCAAATATTAAAATGAACCAAGGAACTGCTTATGTGTACAGGCGCATACGCTTACACAAAATCATACACAGAAATAGTGAGAAGTTTTGGAAAGTAACCGCAAAACGCTTACATGCATTTTGTAATATATCAGAAAGAACTCCCAGAGTCTTTAAGGTAGCGTAATTCTGTGTGTGTGTGTGTGTGTGTGTGTACGCGCGTGTGCACGCGCGTATGCATGCGTTTGTGTGTGTGTGTTTACCTTTTGTATTAAGAGCTCAAAACATTAAGAGTTTTTTTTTACCATGAACATAAAGTCAGCCAAAGTCACTGTGCATTGGATGGCTGAGCTCAACAGAAGCATTGTAAAAATAAGCACCTCGCACATTTGCATGCCCTGTGGGACTTCTTGCCTCCTGGTGTGTGTTGGAATAAACAAGAGCCATAAACTCAGTGCTCTCTTCAACTTTGTAGTGAGCTGAGACAACTTCTGCCTCACAACATATTATGCAAAATACCACTGTGGAGAAGGCTAAATATCTATTCAGGTTGGCAGTAAGAAAATACTAAAGTGTAGCTACTCTTGGACCCAACACTTTATGCTGTTGCTTTATCCAAAGAAGGAACTGCAATAGCGAGTTGCAAACTCAAAATCTAATATTTTGAGTACACAAACATTTAAGAATCCATGTTATGATGTCTTCAACAGCAGGTATCTTGACAAACAATTGTCCAGTATTGATAAAATGTATTTTGGGGAGGAATAACTATCATAAACTTTTCATTAATTGCAGAGGTATCCAAACTGAGCCAAATTAATGAGAAAGAAATCCCTACAGAATTTTGTTTATTTATTTATTTATTTATTTACAAGATATATTTTTTTAGCCGCGCCATTACCAGTGGTCTCTGAGTGGCATACAACAATATTAAAACTTTAAAAACACTACAAACATTTAAAACGGGCAATATTATAATAATATTTACTTCCATTAACTGTCATATTGTCATGTCCAATGTAGCAAGAATTAAATTATCCATCCTTGACGAAGAGCTACATTGGACACAATCAGAGGCATGATCTTTGCTATGCTTTATATCATTAGGAGATACATTCAAAAGCAAATTAATTTAAAGATGTGATGATGCTTAAATCCAAAAGAGGATGACAATATACTTAAGTAAACAACAAGTGCAGAGTTTAACTTTTTTTTATCCTATCCAACTTTTCATCACAGGATATGCAATAATTAGTTCCTCAACCCTTAAATATTTTCACAATCATCCAACTACTATTTGTTCATGGCTGTAGCTAAAAGAATAATTTGTGTTTGAAATTCTTGCATCTCCACTCCATCATATCTACTGACTGCACTGTACCACATGAATGTGTGTATATAATAATCCATACACCGGATGAAAGATGCTGCAGTCCATAAAGACATAGCAAGAAAAACTTATTCTAAATTATCCATTGTCATGAGATTGAAGGAGAATGGGACTTGTAGTCAGATTATGGTCCGAAAAACCCACAACAACCCAACAAATTCTTTTCTAATTGGAATGGAGAAGTCCTAATTAACTGAGCTGTTTTAAGCTCTAAGGAACTACAAAGCCCCTGTGTCTGTACTTGCAAAGTACTGAGTAAAAGTAAAGTTTTATTTTAAGGTCAGGCTTATTCTAGGTGCAAAGGCTATGCACTGCTGGAGGTTGAGGACTTGCCCCAGTGTAAAGGTGGTAGATTTGTGGCTGACGAATTCCCCAACCGAAGGATCCATGCTTCTTAGGGAGATTCAGTCCTGACATCCATAAAGTGTTTGTAGCTTTCACGGCAACAGACTTACTGCCTTTTTGAAAACTTTGAAAGGTATTCTTTTCTGTCACAAAATATTTCCAGAAAAAGTGCCAATCCAATATAGCAAATGACACCACTCTCCCATATTTTACTTGCACTTTATTGAAGAAAATCCTTTTGATGGTCACATTCACATCAGCTTCTTTTTTGTTAAAAAAAATTACTGCTATGGTTTACCTGAAAGCTTATATATTGCTTGGTAGGTTGGAGCACCTGGCTGAAGAGTTAAGGCTGGGAGTTCATATTCCCGCTGTACCTCTCAGAAAAGCAGCCAGCTATCAGCTGGGTCATCTGTTGTGTATTCTGCCATCTGTGTGGCCTTGACCACTCTGCACAATTCCAGAGTGCCAACTGTAGTGGGTCCTGGTAAACTACTTCTGAGTACTTTATACAAGGAAAACCCTAAAAGATCACCCTAAATCAAAATCAACATACAGCATATAATAATAATTATTACAGCTTACGGTGTAGTAAGAAATGAGACTCCTAGTAAACAGAAATACTGTATATAACTCTTCTATGTGCCTTTACTTAGAGGTAAGACTCCTTTCACTTTATAGGAACAACATATGAATAAACAATTTAAGAGTCATACTATATTCCCAAGTTAAGTGAATATGGACATAGGGCTTCCAAAAGGAATCTGACATTTCTGTCTCATTGTTTCAAACTACTTTTAAAATCTTAAGAGGCACTACAAGCATCACCCTCATAAAGATCCTATGCACTCCTCTTTTTTCTTCCATTTCCTCCAGGCAGCACATGCTCAGCTCCACAAGCTGGCAAAAGATAAAACAGACCTTATCCACTAACAGTGCATAATATCGCTGTATCTGAAGAAAAAATACAACAGAATTCATGATCCATATGAATTGTTTTATTATGGCATTAACAGCTTTTGCGTTGCTTTGCATAATTAGTTTGTTTTGCTACATCCAAACCAATTCATTTCTAGGGCTCTAATGCTTTCTGTGCACTTTTTGCAGGTAGAAAGCAGAGTAAGCTTTCCAGAAAGCTTGAACTTTTATTGAAATAAATGGGAAGATATACCCCTCTAACATTAAAAATCTGGGAACAAAATCAGTCACAAATTTGAGTCTCACTCATTGATTAAATGTCCCAAGATAGTGACATTTATCTTATAAAAATTAGGTGCAACAATGACTGTGTATTTTGCCACACATCTCTGTTTCTACAACAGCTAGAGATTTTCTTTTTCTTCTCTTTTAAATGAAAGCTGGGACTCTAGTGTACAGTATTTAATTGTCCAAACAGGGACCAAACAGTATGCCTAGAATCCAGGTAAAACCCAACTAAACAGACAATATGGCCAGCCGACATATAACCAACTTGTGTCCCCATCTCCTTCTAAGAATTCCACATAACTGCCCCCCCATTACAACAGCTCCACTGGCTGCCAATCGGTTATTTTAAAGTGATTTTAACCTATAAAGCCCTAAATTGCCTAGGTCCATGCTATCTCAAAGTCCGTATCCCCATTATGAGCTTTCTTGGGTGTCAAGATCATCAGGGGAGGCTTTTGTCTCGGTCCCGCCATCTTTACAGGTGCATCTGATGAGGAAACAGGAGAGAGCCTTCTCTGTTGCTGCTCCCAGATTTTGGAACTCCCTCCCACAGGAGGCCAGGCTGGTCCCATCTTTGCTATGCTTCCAGAAGCAGACAAAGACCTTTCTCTTCAGGCAAGCTTTTCCCCAGCTACATGTGTGTGATTTTTGGATAGATTGTTATGCATTACTGCTTTGACTGGATTTTTAGTACTACTGTGTTTTCTATTTTTGTGTTTTCCATTTCTCAGAGATATATTTTTTAAAAATGTTGTATACTTCTTGATCTTTGCCTTAACATTGCCTGTTAATGATGAAACTACATTGTTTGTAGTTTTTAAATATTGGCTTTTAATGACTTTAGCTACCATTGTATTCTTATTCCTTTTAACTTTAAATATTGTCTTTCATTGTTCTAAGGCACCTTGGGTCCTTTTCAAGGTGAAAGTCAGGGTAAAAATATTTTAAATAAATAAATAAATAAACCATCAGATCTATATTGCAATGCCTGACCTATTTATCAATAATTTATCAATAATGATGTGAGCATTTCAACTAAACTGAGTAACTTACTGAATGGAAATCTATTTTTAAGCAGAATCTGGATCATCTGGGAGTAAATGAACTGATTAAGAGTAGTTATTTGGATTAGTGAGAATGTGATGATTTTGATGGGAAATTGTCCTATCTTCTGTGAAATTTAAATTCCACACACCTGCTGTCCTATATTGAGGGAAAGTCATCACCAGAAGAATAGCCACCATGTGATGAAGTGGCCACAGCAACTCTTAAAGAGAATAGTGTGGAATGACTGTGATCTGCGGAGATATCATTCCTCTCCAATTAAAAACCACAGTTTACCAATATAATTATTTCTAAATCTGCAGAGATGAA